CAAAGCAGCATGAACCCCAACTAAATCGTCCCAGCCAGGGCTTTGTCAAGCTGGATCTTAAAAACCTCTAGGGATGGAGATTCCACCACCACCCTAGGTAACCCATCCCAATGCTTCACCACCCTCCTAGGGAAATAGTTTTTCCTAATATCCAAATTAGACCTCCCTCACTGTAACTTGAGACTATTGCTCCTTGTTCTGCCATCTGTCATCACTGAGAACAGCCTCTCCCCATCCTCTGTGGAACCTTCCTTCAGGAAGTTGAAGGCTGCTATCAAATCCCCGCTCACTCTTCCCTTCCACAGACTAAATAAACCCAAATCCCTCAGCCTCTCCTCGCAGGTCATGTGCTCCAGCCCCCTAATCATTTTGGTTGCCTCTGCTGGACTCTCTTCAATGTGTCCACATCCTTTTTGTGGTGGGGAGCCCAGAACTGGATGCAATCCTCCAGATGTGGCCTCACCTGTGTAGAATAAAGGGAAATAATCATTTCTCTAGATCTGCTGGCAATGCTCCTTCTAATGCAACCTATGCCGTTAGCCTTCTTGGCTACAAGAGCACACTGTTGACTCATATCAGTTTCTCATCCACTGTAATCTGCAGGTCCTTTTCTGCCAAACTTCTACCTAGCCAGTGAGTCCCCAGACTATAACAATGCTTGGGATTCTTTCATCCCAAATGCACTTGTCTTTGTTGAACATCATCAGATTTCTTTTGGCCCAATCCTGTAGGTCACTCGGGACCCTATCCTTGCCCTACAACATATCTACCTCTCCCCTTAGCTTAGTGTCATCCGCAAACTTACTGAGGGTACAATCCATCCCCTCATCCAGGTCATGAATAAAGATGTTGAACAAAACTGACCATGGATCTAATTCTTGGGGCAATCTTCTTGAAATCGATTGCCTCAAGATGTGAAGTTCTTAGATAGCTTAGCATAAGTTTTGACACAAAGAAAACAGCACACTAAATAAAGACTTTTTAGACAACTTCAGATCATTAGGTCAAGGATTTTTAAGGACATTATTACTTCTGAAATGAAAATGTGTGAAAAACCTACCTATACTCCTAAAAGAAGAGAAAAATTATGTCCTATTGTCACAGACACCTCCCCTGCATGTTGGAGTGCCTCCTAATGGCTTTATCTTGGGATTAACTCTTTTAGCCTGACATCCTCTTTGTGGTTTCTTGTCCCATTGTCCCACCATCTTTGTCTGCAGCGCTTGCATTTCAGGAGCTGCAGTGCTGCCTTCATGGTTCAGCCCATTGGCCAAGTCACTGAAGTCTTTCTCTTCCAGGATACTAGCCACATCTTCTTCATCATTGCTCACAGCCTTGGCTTAGCCACCACTACAGTGGTGACAACAACATGTGGCCTCAGACAGCCTCCAAATTCACTGCCCAGGTTGTTCCATTCATTCAGTGACTGGAAGGGGAACTCAGGCCTGTTCTCTACTCTGGTTTCCAATCCAGAACCTTATCTCCAGAAGCAAAGGTCTGGGCTGTTGGAAAGCAGGCTTTTTCTGACCACGGCCTTCGCGTATAGCCCAGTGTGACGGCGCCTTGGGGGTCCCCCGTCTTCTGCACCCCGAAATGGCACAAACGGACGGCCCCAGCCGGTGGAGTAGAGGAAGTTTATTGCCTCTCCAGGATACAGCACAGCACAGATGTAATCTGGTCACAGAGCTGGGCTAGGATGCCTCAGGCCCCCTTGAGATGGGGGAGACTGGGCCCCTAAACTCCAGTCCCTTTCCCTAGGCTGTCTCCTCCATGCTTCCAGCCAGCAACTCCCTAACCCTCTTCCAGCCCTGCCCCCCAGCCAGGGCAGCATTCCACCTTCCTTTGTTCCTCTCCATGGGGGGTGTCTGGTTCAACAAGTTTGGCATTACCTTTGCATAGTGAGGTTTTCCCTGCTGGGTCTTGCTCCAGACAGCAGAGGTCACCACAGCCCAGCAAGTACCCCCACTACGTCACACCCATCCAGCAGCACAAAGCACTCACAGAAAATGCAGGCCTCTGACACACTTTGAGAAAGCATAACTTGTAAGCGCACAATGCGGGTTTTGTGAATGGAATTTGACTTTACAGACATCCTGAGACTCACAGGCGCCATAAAATAGGAAGGTGAGCATGACTAGATAGTGCCAGCTGCACTTACAGATAAGCCTCATTTGACCGTAGCTTGACCGGTCTTAGGGGCAAGGGAAAAAGTAAACATAGGGTAATAAAACACAACTGTCTCACACTAACTATGCCCCATCTGGTCCTGTCCACAAGGGGATCACGCATACATCACGAAAATTCCTATAGGGCAGTATTGTCATACTACCTCGTCACTAGCCTATCAGGCCCTGCCAAATGGAGACCCTAGCATGGCATTAGACACCGAATTTTTGTATAAAAGACCCTCTACCCCTTTGTTCGATGGAGGTTCCGTGTATTGAGGGCACGTGTCTTTTTTTGCCCGGCTAAAGGATTGATCACCCTGAGGCTGCCTCCCCACCCTTCGAATCAAATATAGGGGTGCACGAGTCCTGAGCATGCTCCGAGTTCTAGTGTGTCTTTGTGTTATCGTTGCAGGATTTGTAAGTATTGCTTAAATTTATTAATTGGTGGTTTAGTTAATAGTTAAGCTGCATAGATTACATCCTATAATCCTGTGAAATATAAGTAAGTCATATTAATTATATTGTATAGATAGTGTGATTTTGTGCTATGTGAAAGGGTTAAGTTTTAGCCCAGGTATAAGTGTTAGAAGAAAAACCCAGGAGTTGTCAACTGGTAACCGTAAAAAAAAAAATCAATGACTAACTCCACCAGCTGTCCTAAAGGGACATTGGAGGGATTGGCTGTGGGTGGTTCTTTTATTATCATTATTTTGGCTTTGTTTTTTGTATTTTTCATTTGTATGCTGCGTTGTCTTAGGTGAATTAGAGATAGTGATTTGATATAAGTGAATTGTAATCAAAGAATTGTAATCAGTTGGGTATAATTGTGCCCAAGCTTTTCTACACTGTAAAAGTATTGAGCAATTGCTAGTTTAAACACCTATTTGGTAATTGTTGGTTTTGACCACTTAATAAAAAATCATTTGTTTCACCATCATCCAGTAGTTTTCACTGGGTAGTCGGCTTTAACCCTTGAGGCTCCCATCACATCACAGAACCAAAGAGTAACAGTATACAGGCATCTAAGATACTGATGCTCTCTTCCAGTTCTTCCTACTTGCCTATTCCAGGCTCTCAGGGTATGTCTAGACTACAGGCTTTTGTCAACAGAAGTATTGCATCAAGACTGCATCAAGCGGATAGACAAAGTCATTTGCTTTGTCGACAAAGAGCGTCCAGACTGCCGAACGCTCTGTCAACTCAAAAAGGCACTCAAAACTGCTTCTGCCAGGTCACAGGGGCAGCATGTACTTCCTGGTGCTGCTGCCTGCCCTTTGCAGAGATACATGCTAAAAGGGACCCCCCGACCAGCCGTTGCTCTGCTGCCTTGCTTACCTCCTACAGAGACAGCAAAGGTTTTGCAGTGCTTGCTGAGAGTGACCTGCTTCCTGACACAGCACAGCAGTTTGGGTGGTTGGTTTTTTTTGGAAGGTTTTTCTGATCCCTTTGTTTGCCATGGAGCCAGAGCTGACCCCACTCCATAGTGCTTCAAATGCTGCTGCAACTGCATGAGACTTTCATGCTGTTAATGCCTGGTCTGGATTCTGCACCCAAGCTGGAGCCCCTACTTCAGGATGCAGCAACACTGTTCTTGCCTCCAAACTTTTCCCAGGAGATGCGATTTTGGAGGCTGGAGACAAGTACAGACTGGTGGGACTGGCTGGTAATGGAGCAGTGGGTTGACCAGGCTTGGCTCCAAAACTTCAGGATGCAGAAGTCCACCTTCGTGGAGGTCTGTACCTGGCTTACCCCTGCCCTGCAATGACAGGACACTCACCTGCACCCTGCCATCCTGCTGGAAAAGAGGGTAGCTATTGCCCTCTGGAAGCTGGCCACTCCTGACAGCTACCAGTCAGCGGGACACCATTTCGGTGCGGGGAGATCTACTGTTGGTGCCATGTTGATGGAGGTAAGTCTCTCGGTGAGGAGAGTGGGGTGGGGGTAGTCCATGAGGGCTAGGGGGACTGTACCAGGAGAGGGGGGGGGGGGAGGGCAATGGAGGGGAGATGGTGGAGGGCTCCTGGCCTCACTCCACCATACTGCTGGGAGCAATCACCGGGGGAGGGACAGGGGGAAGACTCCTGGGTTCTTGGGGGGGATAGAGGCAGGGTACCTCCCAAGGACTTGGGCAACACCTCTAACTTCATATTGTGTGTGTTTGTATGTGTCTATTTCTTCAGGTGATAAGGGCCATCAACTCGGAGCTGCTGAACTGGATTGTCCACCTCGGAAACCTAGACACCATCATGACTGGTTCTGCTGGGCTGGGATTCCCAAACTGCGGAGGAGCACTCGATGGAACTCACATTCCCATCCATGCACCGCCCCATCGAGCAGCCTGTTATATTAACCGAAAAGGGTACTTCCATTGTGCTGCAGCCCTGATTGACTACCGTGGACTATTTACGGACATTTGTGTGGGGTGGTTGGGCCGGGCACACGATGCTCGGATCTTCCAGAATTCATACCTTTACGAAAGGCTGCAGGCTGGAACCTTCTTCCCACAGCGAACCTTTGCTGTTGGGGACATGGAGATGCCAGTCTGCATTGTGGCCGATGTGGGGTACCCCCTCATGCCCTGGCTCATGAAGCCATACACAGGGCATCTGAACCTAAGCAGGGAAGTCTTTAACGTGCACCTGACATGCGCACATTTACAAGTGGAATGCGCGTTTGGCCGGCTGAAGGGAAGGTTTAGGTGCCTGCTCACTCTCCTCGACATGTGGGAACACAATATCCCAGAGGTGGTGGCAGTATGTTGCGTCCTCCACAACCTGGTGGAGAGCAAAGGGGAAGCCTTTCTCCCAGGCTGACAGCCTTGGACAGCTGCCGTTCGCCAAGCCTATCAGGTGGGGGTCCACATCCAGGAGGCTCTGCATGAACGCTTCTCAGCTGGAGCCCAATTACTCCCCAAGGTCTCCCCAATGGGGCCTGTGGGCCTGCCCCCCATCCCAAAACCTTCCCTCCATCAGCCTCTGAACAGTTAAGGCACACACACCATGTTAAACATGAAAAATATAATGTTTATCAAGGAGTAACGTTAGAATTTGCAACTGTTATAAAAATAGAATTGTTCAACAACTGTTAAAAATAAACTTTTTTTGAACTATTAACATGTGTTTATAACTGTGGTAGGAGGGGGGATTTCAATCTGGAGGGAGGGAGGGAAGGAGGACAGACAGTTTAAGGATAATGGTGGTATCGCCTGGGCCTCAAGGCTTTGCCACCTCTTGTCCGTGGACCCTGCCATCCTCAGGCTTGAGTTGGGAATGCAGATGGCTCTGCTCTAGTGGGGGAGGGGGAAGGGAGAGTGGGGCAGGGCTGGAGGAGTGGCAGGGACAGGAAGGGGGGTTTAGAGGGGGCTGGAGCTGGATGGGCAGGAGGAGTCCCCAGGGGGAGAGGACCTGGCACAGCCAGGGCCTCCCGGAGGGTGGCACACATTGCGCTCCACTGCGGTAGGAAATCGTTAAGCAGGCAATTATGCCAGCGAGCCTCCTCCTTGGATCTTTTGGACATGGTCTCCTGCATTTTGGCCATGGTCCCCTCAATTTTCTCCATCGCCTCCACAAGAGGTCATTATAGGCCCTCCAATGCTTGCGGGTGCTGTGGGACTGTGTGGGTGGTGGCACTGGTGTTGCCCGGTGGTCAGCAGCAGCAGGTCCGGCTGTGGAGGAGGAGAGGGAGATCCGATCAGTGTTAGGACTACACACACAAGTCCTTACAACAAGAGATGAGAATGTTGTTACTGTAAGACCACGTCTGGCCCTGCCAGCTGCCTTGACCTCACAGGGGCCCCGTTGTGGCTAGGGCAATGTTCACCTCCACCCCCTACATCCTCTCCCCCTCTACCATGGCCATGCAGGCCAGGTAAGTTTGCAGCCACAGTGGAACAGGGGCCTGCAGCACTTTGGGTCTCCCATGGCTCCCACCCACATACCCACCACCTGCCCACCTGCTTGTGCGCACACAGAGAGATGCAAGCTGTCCAGGAGGACCAAGATGTGCACATTGCTCTGAATCCTCTCTGCTCCCACTTCCCCCGTTCTGTCTGTGACTCTGACTGCACTCACCTGATGCTCCTTCGCCAGCGTTGGAAGATGCCTGTGAGGCTTCCTGAGTCTCCGGGATAGGCTGCAGGGTCAGGATCAGGATGTCCTCTGTCTGCTGCTCTTCCTCCTTCTCCTCCACATCTTCCCTGGGGACCTCCTGCCAGCCCTGCTGCACTGGTGTGTGCAACCCTGTCTGCATGAGCACCAGTGCAGACATAGGTTCCTGGCCTCCCAGGATGCGGTCCAGTTCATTATAATAGGCTCAGTGCATCGGGGCTGCACCTGATGCTGAGCTCTGCTCTCGGGCCTTCACGTAGCCCTGCCGAAGCTCTTTAACTTTGGCCTGGGACCTGTTGTCGTGTCCTGGGGTGATGCCCTTTATCAGTCAGCCCTTGTCAGGACCTCTGGCCCTGACCAGGCTGGGGCTCTCTCTCTCACCTGAGGGAACCTGAGCTGGCTCCCTCAAAGGCCCTTGGAAGCCTCGTGGCTCTGGAGCTGCACACATGGCCACGTGCAAGTGAAGCTGGGAGAGCTGGGTGCTGACTGTGTTGGTCTGTGGCCAGCTTTCTGTCAGAATGCCTACCAGGGGTGTCTGTGCCTTTAAAACATGGCTACAGACAGGAACAAGAGGTTTTCCCTGAAGGAGTGTCCAGCAGGGGGTTTCCTTGGAGGTCTTCTTTTGTCGACAAAAGAAACCCCTGCATCTAGACTGCCCTTTTAGTTGACAGAACTCTGTTGACAAAGGCATTATGCCTCATAAAATGAGGTTTACCGGCGTCGACAAAACTGCCGTGTTCTGTCTACTTACTGTCAACAGAAAGCGACAGTAGTATAGATGCAGGTATAGTTTTGTTGACAAAAGCCCACTTTTGTCGACAAAACCATGTAGTCTAGACACACCCTCAGTCTTTACCCTTGTAGCTAAAGCCTTGTACTCTGGATGTACTAAACAAACTCTTCGGTTTAGGTCCATCTCTCTCTCTCTCTCCCTCCTTGTATAGGTCTTTCCCCTGGAGCCCTCTTTCTACTACCAGCTCCCTAGCTTTATAGAATCTGTGGCTGTTCCTAAAAAGGGGACTGCACCAAATTTGGGCTTTCCTTTCAGCCTAAATGTCCCCCTGATTACATACTTATAGGTTAATTGGCCTATCTGGCCTACATTAACCCCTTTAGGGTGCACGTGGAAAAATGCATACTATCACACATACGTATATACATTAGATCATAACAAACTAGTAGCAGCATTTAATTTAATCTTGAATATAGTATTAATGTAATCCCTTAATTTCTTCTCTAACAACCAATTATGTTCTAGCCAAGTACCCATTGAAGATTTACTTAAAAACAAACTGAGGTATTTTAATTACAAAAAAAAAAAAAAAATTCTGTAAAGAAACATTGATGTACTCTGCTAGGGATCCACTGCTGGATTCAAAACTTCTATTTTTTATCATTCTCATTCCAACAAGATGCTGTTTAAGGTCACTTTTCTGGGATACCAGCATTAGCTATCCTACAGCATTTTACCTAGTGTGTGTCAGTCAGTGACCTCACTGATGCTGACTGAACAATGGCATTCTGACTGACCAAAAGAGCAATGTTTTTCAGTTTCACTGGGAAACGTAAAGAATTCAATATAGGTCACATGGTCAAAGGGTGGAATTGATAAGGGGGACTTGGGTCCATCACAGTAACAGGCCAAAGAGGCTATGTCTACACAGCAGCGTTATTTCGGAATAAGCTATTCCAGAAGAGATTTTCCAGAATAGCTGATTTCAAAATAGAGCATCTACACACAAAATGTGTATCGAAATAGTGCTTAGCTATTTCCAAATAGTGTGTCCATACTGATTGGATGCTGAATCACATTTAAGGCCACACAGAACTAGTTCAGTCAGGGCATCAGGTCAGTAGTTGCATCGTGTGGTTGCAGCTTGAGACTATGTGAGGCTCGTAATTAAAGGGACCCCCCTGGACAGACATTTCTCAGGTTTCTCTGCTTACTTGCCTACCTCTCTGAGGGACAGCAAAGCATTTTCTCTTCTTGCTCTGGTTGCCCCAACTCACTGCTGTGGAGACAGAGCTCCCTCTGGGCAGTCTTGCAGCACTTTCTGCAGGCTGCCTCCCATGCTCTACAGGAACCCAGCCCCCAGGCCTTCTGGGAGAGGCTCCTTGGGGTATGTGGGGAAATGGGTCCAGCAGCTGGAGCCTGCCTACTGTGGCATGGACACCATGCCCCACCACATCTGGCATCGGGACACCAGTGTAGACTGGTGGGACCACATCATTCTAGAGCACTGGGGAAACCAACAATGGCTCCAGAACTTGAGAGTGAAGAAGGGCACCTGGCACTGGGCACATCCAGAGGATGGTAACTTGATACATCAGGAGTGATGTATAACTTGCTTGTACCTGTGTATAAAAATGTGTATAAAAATGTAACCCAAGGGAGTTGTCTCTGTCTAGCTAGAGGGAAGTGGTGATAGTTTGAGTGTTTGTTCATTCCTTCCCGGAGAGTGTCGAATTTTAACATGAATGACAGTTCAGAGGATTCCCTTTCAAGTGCAGATGGAAAAGGTCTTTGTAGCAGAATGCAGGTGGTTAAGTTATTGAGAGAGTGTCCTTTCTGGTTAAAATGGCAAGAAACTGTTTTTTCTTTGTGATCTTGTCTGATATCTGTTTTGTGGGCATTAATCCTTTGGCGAAGTGTCTGAGATGTTTGTCCAATGTACATAGCAGACGGACACTTTCGGCACATGATAGCATAGATTATATTTCTGGATGCGCAGGAATATGTGTTCTTGATCTTATAACTCACTTGGTTAGGTCCAATAATGGTATCAGCAGAATGAATATGTGGACAAAGCTGGCAACGGGGTTTGTTGCAAGGGTAGGTACCAGGGTTGGTATTAGTGTGGTATGTCCTGTGGTGGTTGGTAAGAATCATCTTGAGGTTAGGTGGTTGTCTATAGGAGACTATGGGTCTGTCTCCCAGAGCCTCTTGGAGTATGGTATCCTGTTCCAATGTAGGCTGTAGTTTATTGATAATGTGTTGGACAGGTTTAAGTTGGGGGTTGTAGGTGATGACAAGTGGTGTTCTATTGTTGGTTTTCTTGGTTCTGTCTTGAAGTAGATGGTTTCTAGGTATTCGTCTGGCTCTTCCAATTTGCTTATTTATTTCTCTGGGTGGGTAGTTGAGGTTTATAAATGCTTGGTAGAGATCCTGAAGCTTCTGGTCTCTGTCAGTGGGATTAGAGCAGATGCGGTTGTATCGAAGGGCTTGGCTATAGACGATGGATCGTGTGGGGTGTTCTGGATGGGAGCTGGAAGCATGTAGGGAACTGTATGAGTCGGTGGGGTTTCTGTAGAGAGTGGGGTCTAATTTTCCATTGTTGATTTGTACTGTGGTGTCCATTCTACACGAGAGATCCACTTCCTGGACACCACAGTACAAATCGTATAAAGAGTTTGACTTGCACTGTTTCAATCTTCACTTTAACAAGAGCTTATCATTTAGATTTTTCTCCCCAATTTAAAAATTACTTTGGTGCTAACATATTACATGTATCCCATTTGCATATCATATGTTCTGCGGTTACTCAGCAGAAGGTCATATTGTTATGGATCAAATAAAAAGTCTTAATTCTCATGTTTCTAACCTATTCTTTGACAGGCTCCAAACTTATACCATCTGCTCTTATGATTCAACCTATCCTTTTTACTGCCAGGGGTAAATCAAACTCACATAAATGTAGCTATATGTAAATGTACATTTGTATCTAAGAACAAAGAATGTAGACCATACTTGCAGGATGGGCAACTATCTTGGGAAGCAGTGTCAAATGAAAAAAGATTTTGAGGTCATACTTAAGGTGGATATCTGCAGACATGAAGGGCACTATATCCATATATATGGATGCGGATATCCATGGCTCATTTTTACAGATACAGATGAGGGATGAGGATATAAATTTTGTATCTAGTACTCTTCAAATTTGCAAATATCCGCAGATGCAGATACCAATTTTCTTTCTGCATAAGGTTCTAGTCATGATCACTAATTAGCTGAATATGAGTGTGATGCTGTAGCCAAAAAAGGAATCTCAAGCAGGAGTAAAGACATTGTTTTACCTGTATATTTAGCCTTACTATTTTCTCCCTTAAAATACAGTGTTCAGTTCCATTACCTATAAGTCAAGAATGATGTTGATAAATTAAAGGCAGCTGAGCAAAGAGCCACATGAATGATTACAAGATTACACTGTCTAGTCCCTAGCCTCCCACCCCACACGTGCCCTTTAGGGAGAGTGGGGGGCTCAAGCTCCCCCTGCCCCAATTTGTATGGGAACACTGCTGGCTGTTCCCCTTTGAATGAGGGGAAAGCACATCATTTGCTGCATTCCTCACTCTGGCTTGGGAGCGTAGGGGGCAGATGAACGTGGACCTGACCCAGCCATGGAACCATACGCTCTCCCCCAGCTGTGCCTTGTGGACCTGCAGCAGCAGCCACTCATCTAGCCTGGGGCAGCCTGCATATTGAACCCCTTATCCCCAGCCCCACTGCAGTGCAATGATTTAAATGAAGAAAAATAAAAATTGAGTTAAGGACCTGAGCAAGGTAAATCTTCTAGTTAGTTTATGTCTCAAAACTGGGAACAAATATTTAATAATGAGCTCTGACTTAACAGATAAAGATGTAACAAACACAATCCAATATCTGGAAGTTGAGCTAGACTAATTAGACTGGAAGATGGTGAAAATAATTAACAATTGAAACAATTTACCAAGCATAATAGGACTTGCTATTCAAGTCAGGACTCCATCAGTGACTATTTTTAAATCAAGCACTGGATGTTCTTAAAAATAATTCCTAGAGAATATAAATTTTATGGCATATTAAATAGCAGGTCAGATTAGATGATGACAACAGTCTCTTCTGGTGTTGGAATCTCTGGGTCTGTCCTTGATTTCAACAGTGGCAGATCACAGCCTGTGAACTGCAAAAATCTTATAGAAGGCAGCTATATTGGGAGGTGGGTTAATGCCTTCATGTTTCCCAATTAGTCTCACCTGAACACAGCGTGGCACTCAGGGCAGAAAATGGAGGCCTAATTAGGAGTCAGCCTGCAACAGGAGTTAATTAAGCACCTGTTGCTAGTTAAAGCCTCCAGGCCCCTATACAAGTTTTCCTCCTAAGCAGCAGGGGGAGAGTTTTGAGAGGCACAGAGGAGAGTTGGAGAGCAGAGAAGAGCTGAACCCCAAGATAAAAGGCAGAAGATAATAGAGGAAAGCAGTGGGTGAAGTGGCCCAGGGGAGAGGTATTAATGTGGGGCAAGAAGCCCTGCCAGCCACCCCTCCTGTAGGGCCCATGGGCTGGAGTCCAGTGGAATGGGCAGGCTGGGACTTCCACCCCTCCCTTTTTCTCTTGGAGGATTACCCTGCCGGGGAGACGGGAAAAGACGAAAGGCTAGGAAAAGGGGGTCTTGTCTTCCCTCCCTCCCCATACTCAGGGCTTGCCTGTGATGAGAATTACTCAGTAAGCAGAGACCCTTGCCTCTGGGGAAGTCCCAAGGCAATGAAGGGGTCACCATAAGTCTCTGAGGCACACAAAAAACTGTCAAGAAGCGCAGAACCCATGGGGAGCTAACAAGGGACTTTGTCATACACCTTATTTCTTCCCCCTCCTTCATCTCAATGCTTCTGACGCATTTTCCACTGCCTTCTATCATGCTTTGTTTCAACATGTATACAACTTTCCTTTCTAATTACGGTCCTTTTTCCTTTCTCCGTTTTAGTTCTAAAATCTTAGAACATGCTATTTCTTCTTATACCTTACCTTCTCTTCCAATTCTCTTCCTGATCTACACTCAAATTGGATTCCATCCTCTACTAACATTAAGCACAGTGAAATCAGTCAGACTCCAAAGGTATGTCTTATTTTGAAATAAGGCAAGCATCCATACTACCACACCTGTTATTTTGAAATAACTCCTGCTTGTGAAGAGGAATAGCTTGTTTCAAAATAGTTATTTTGTGAGTTAATATTTTTAAATAAGTTATTTTGAAATAACTCCCTAGTGTAGACATAGCCCAAGATACGTCTAAGGTACACTTCTCTGCCCTCATCTTCTTTATCTCTCTACTGCCTTAGATACTGCTCACTCTTTTCCTGACTTCCATGACCCTCTGCTTGTTGCACCAGATGCAATATTTGTGCCACATTCATTTATCTTTTCTACATTTGTTGGTGTCTATTAAGCTTCCAGACTCCCTCTTCTTTACTCATGCCTAACCTTCTTTTTCAACTACCACCTCTGGGTCAATGAACCTTCAAGTGTCTTTCTGCCTAATCTCATCTCTATATGTGTCTCAGCCATTGTCTTGGATATTCAGCTGCTTTGGACATGACCTGACCTCTTCAAACAAGAGCATTCATTTTTCTATCTATTCGCCCTTTTTTGCTTCCCATGTCTTTGTTCATTATTGACTGTCAACCTTCCTATCTCCTAGACTTGCCATGTTGGTATAACTGATAATACCTCTCCTGCTAAAAGCTCCTATCTGACCTGATTGCCTTACTTATAAGTTCTTAAATCTGTGCAAAATTACAAGTGATATTGCCAAAGTCATCATGGTTAATCAAAATGATTTAAGTACAAATCAGCATTTAAATATATGTATGCATAACAGGTACATACTCACAAACTTCTGCTTCTTTTATTATGGTTATCATCTGACAGGAGATATAAATTACTAATTTTTTGTATGGGCCTGCAACCAAGTAGTAATCTAATAGTTATTCTGCATTTCAAACTTAATGAAGCTAAGAGTAGAAGTGCTTGGCTCCTTGTAGGAGGAACTTTGTAATGTGGTTTTGGATAACTGCTACTGAATTCCACATAAAATTGTACTCTTTAAATTACATTTTATTAAAAGGGCAATCTCCTGATGACATCCAAACTTTCCATTAGCCTTTAATAAAGAAATACATTAAGCTAACTGAAGCTCTCTCCTAAAATAGTGAACTTAAAATTTTTTTAGAAGTGAAGATCCTGAGTTAGAGTTTAACAAAGTAAAAATCTCCAGAGGAAATTTGTTCCCCTCTAAAGTTCATCTAAATTTATTTTTCCTGTCTAGTTTTTAAACAGAGTATCTTTGAAAATGAATATTAATGCATTTGCAAAATCATAGTTTATTAACACTGTCATTTATTTAGCTAGGTTTGTACATACATGAAAGAAGCCGCTTGAGAGTTTTAAGCAGCTCATCTTTTTTGTATACTAAAGCGCTGACCAAATTTTAGCACTGCCTGTGAATTGATAGTTAACTAGTGGTTGATAATCGTATTCCAGAAACATGAGGATAAGGTGAAAAGCAAGCAGGCAAGTGACTTCTTACAAATGTTACCATGGCCAAAAAGGTGCATTCCTTAATGTGCATTTGTCAAAGGAACTGAAGGGAAAGATTTTACTTTTTACTACCATCTTGGACTTCACCATTAAGTAGAAATTGTTTGAATTCACAAAACACCCAGAAAACTACTTATTTTTCAATTTTCTTTCAATAAAAGATAGGATAGTTGTGTCTATTTTTAGACAGGGCTTCTAATCAGTACACTTTTACAGTACAAGAAAGGCATAAGTCTCTAAGTATAACTTAATGAGAACAAATTCTTAAATAATGCTATCATTCATTAGACAATAAAAGAGAAAGATTAGCATATTAAACACACACACCTCTTTCATTTTTGCTGGACTGATAATACACTAACCTGGTGTAGTAATCTTTTCAGTTTTAGTAACTGAGTTTTTACTGCTGTGCAATCTTGAACCATATGCCGAAGGGTCATTTCATCAAGCATCACTGTGTTTTCTGGCAAGCCCACCAATTGCCTAGGAGTCTGGCACATATTTGGTATTCCATAGTCTTCAAAGTGATCAACAGGAGGTTCTAAGTGGCAGGAGTCCCTGAAATAAATATCTTAGATGAAATGAAAAGTAGTCACTCTAGAGCTCAGATCTGTGAGCTGTTTTTTAAGAAGGGAGCATTTTAGAGAGAGAGAGAGAGAGAGAGAGAGAGAGAGAGAGAGTGTTCATTAATGCTGTCAGCAATTTTTAAAATTTCAGAAAATAGCTACAGCTATTTAGATTGCCAACTGGAGAAAAATGTTCATAAAGCCAATATTATCTTTATATAAAATTCTATGCATTATTACACATCTTCAAGAAGCATCTCAGAAACTAATTCAGTTCCCAGTAATCCACAATCAGTTCACACCTATACTATCAGACTAGCAACATATATAAAAGATGGCTTGAAAAACAATGCCACACTATTTACTTCTCAAAATAGAAACACAATTTCCTATTTCACATAACAGCTACTGGAACAATGAAACCAGCAAAGCATTTAGCTGCGAAATTATATGGTATAATTGATTGCACATTTATAATATTGCTTAACATTCACAGAAACTAGTGCCAACCACTGATCAAATATCTGCATCTAAATTACAATCTCCATTAAAGATTTGAGTTTAAAGGAGGAAATATTAGAGCCATACCAGTAAAAGTGTCATCATCTTCACAAACTAATTGACACACCACTTCTCAGAAAAATACTAACCTACTTCGTCATGTGTTAACTTCTAACAACTCCCTGAGAAGAAGTGCAACAGGGCCCTTACCTGCTCAGATCATTTTTGCTATGTGGAAAGTGGTCTAAATGACCCAAGTGACAGCAGTCTTGTGCACTCCAACATTGTGGTGTTCTCTTCCAGAATCCATCCTGTTGTTGCCGCAGATTTCTGTCTTGTCTACCATAACGATTCATGTTTTCGTAATCCACTAAACAGATGTTTTAAAAAGTTATGTATGTAACATATGCTAAAGGAATTTGCTACATACAAAATACAAGTAAACATTAATTAAGTATTATTAATAGGTACACGAGTACGATTGGAAACATCAATCCTTCTTCAAACTGATCATAAAAGCAAGCTAAGCTGAACACACGAGACTATCTAGAATGATCTCACTTTTAATCTCCACAATCCTTACTGCAACAACTTCAGAAGTTATATTGTTTAATAAAAATAAAATTTGATCTGAACTTGCAACAGAATCTACAAAACATAAGTCTTATGATTTAAAATATTTCTAGAAGGCCAATTTAAAAAAATCTAATCTTTTTACTATCAGTAAAGATTTAGAAACAATCTAAAAACATTGTCATCTTGTGTTTTGAGTAAAAAGACCAATATTAAGCTGAAATGACCTTTTTTCTTTTTTAAAAAATATCCCAAACTGGCTGTAGCCTTTTTTTAGCTTCAGAAAGAATCCCTATGATTTAAAAAAATATTTTAAAAACACGAAACATCTTCATATTTAAACTGCTTTTGTCCACAGTTTGAGAAGACTGTATTTGGCAACAGCTTGTAAAACCACTAAAAACAAAGCCGAAACTCAGCTATAATGGAAGAAGTCAGATGCAGAAAATAAGTTCAAGTTATGAGCTACTGATCTGCTGCTAGACTTCCCTGTCACTTACCCAAAGAGTTTTTCCTCACATTGTCTGCCTGTGTCTAGAAGAAAAACTTCACACAAAAGAACATTGTGTTACTCTCCTGCCTACTCAGAAATAGTTGTACGTAATACATTAATAAACAGGCCTTCCTTCCTGCTTCATTCCTAGCCTGCATTTTGTTGGGAAGCAAGCCAAGTTTTACCCTGTCATTTAAAACTACCATCCTCACTCACTCTGTATATATTTGTAAGATAACTGTTTCTATATATAGCATCTAAATACAATCCCAGAACCCAGAATAGAACAAGCAAAGTTTCAGTGTGCCTATGAAGTATTATGAGGGCACTGGTATTAAGTAAATCATACATAATCATAAACTAACTGTAGGATGCAAAGTGCATTTACGGCTTAAAGTAATCCTAAATTAAGATACTGTTGGTGATAATTATCATATCTATGCTTAATTTTATCAGTTACATTTATCATCAACATAATTAAGATGGAAATTTTTTTAAAAAATGAAGTTACATAAAACAAAATATAGTACAAATTACTTTAAAAAGCTGTCTGCTATAGCTTATTATATAGGAATACTTTATAAAGTATAAACAAACATATTTATAAGCAGTCTCATTGTTATTCAGCATTACAAACAAAATTGAAACTATCTAGTGTTGCCAACTTCTTAATTGTGCAAAACCAAACACGCATGCGCTGCTCCTATATTTGTCCCCACCGTTCCCCTTCTGAGGGGCTACCCCACCCCCATTCATTCCATCCATCCTCCCCCTCTGTCACTTGCTCTCCCTTACCCTCACTGCACTGAGATGCGGGGTTGGGATGCAGGAGGGAGTAAGGCCTCAGGCTCAGGGTAGGGTTATTGACTCTGGGAGGGAGTTTGGGATGGAGCAGGGGGCTCAGGACTAGGACAGGGAGTTGGGGACCAAAAAGGGGTGCAGTTTCAGGAAGGAGTTTAGATGCAAAAGGCAGTTACAACCTGGGGCACAGAGTTGAGGTGCAGTTGGGGCTCTGAGGTGCAGGCTTCAGTCAGATAGCCACCTGAGGAAAGCACTCTCAGAAGCAGCTGGCATGTCTAGTTCCTAGGCACAGGGGTGACCACAGGAGCTCTGCACACTGCCTGCCCCCCACGGGCACAGCCCCCCACAGCTCCCACTGTTCACAGTTCCTGGCAATGGGAAATGCAGAGCCAGTTCTTGAGGCAGGAGCAGCACATACAGCTTCAGTGACAGACCCTATGCTTAGAAGCTGGATATGCTGGCTGATTCTGGGAGCCACACAGAGCTGGGTAGAGAACTTGCCTTAGCCCCACTGTTCTTCCGACCAGACTATCAGTGGCCCCGTCATCAGTACTGACCAAAGACAGGAGGGTCTCTTTGACTGGGGAGTCTGGTCAAAAACCAGATGTTTGGCAAACCTAACTGCACAAAGTAGTTTGGGTTTGGGGGAGAAAAGAGGGAAGAAATAAAGAATATGAACCTTATCAAAACAGGAATTTTACTTGTTCAGCTGTTCACATCTGCACAAGCGGTTTCCAATTTTTCTTCTTCAATAGCATTCTGCTTTTGGAATGTATTTGATATTAAATTATTTTTGTATTTGTTTTAAGAACTTTATAAACAACATATTTTTAGTACCAAGTGACACATTAAGAAATTCCCAGCTGTTTTCCAATGAAGTTCCCAGCCACCATTAGCAGAAGAGCTCTTCTATAGTGGAACAGTTTTGTGTGTGTGGCTTTTTTTTTGGTCTTGAGTGATTTTAATACAGATGCCACAATAAAAAATGGTTAACTCTTTGTAACTATTGTTCTTAGAGATTGTAGGATAAAAATTTCTGAGGCAGGCTATGATATTCTGTTAAGAACCCCTATTCTAAATTTGGAGTCTGGGACTGGCACACAAACACAGTACAATGGTTCCCCCCTCCTTTTCTCCCCCACACCTAGCCCAGGATGGGAGACCGGACAAGACACATTCAGTGGTGCTAGGAACAAATGTGCCATTATCAAGTACTCCCAGGCTGTCTCTAGACTGCATCCCTTTTCCATAAAAGGGATGCAAATTAGACACATCGCAATTGCAATTGAAGCGGGGATTTAAATCCCCCCCGCTTCATTTGCATAAACATGGCTGCCGCTTTTTTCCGGCTCGGAACTTTGCCGGAAAAAAGCGCCAGTCTAGGCTTTTTTCCGGCAAAGCTCCGTGCGGGGAAAAAAGCAGCAGCCATGTTTATGCAAATGAAGCAGGGGGGGTTTAAATCCCTGCTTCATTTGCAATTGCGATATGTCTAATTTGCATCCCTTTTACGGAAAAGGGATGCAGTCTAGACACAGCCCCAGTGTCTCTGCTTTAATCTCCAGATGGACCACATCCATGCAGAGATACCTTCCTGAAGCTGACAGACAGATCACCACTTAACACATAGTTGATAACTGATGTCTGCTTTGTTTAAATACTTGTTTTACTGGAAACACTATGTAACTTTATATTATTGTTCTTATTTTGCCTCACAATTAGCACCTATCTGGGTTCCAGGATCTTACCTACTCCCCCCATCACTTTGATCTGCCCATTAAGCATCCTATATAATTAATTGTAATCTATGGTCTGGCAGTGTTCACTGAGCCCTAACAAGCGACCTGACACTCCGCCAGAGCTGTGTGTAATAAACTCTCCTGCTTGGTCACATGAAAGTCAGTGGATGTTATATACCTTGACTTTAGCAAGGCTTTTGATACGATCTCCCACAATATTCTTGCCAGCAAGTTAAGGGAATGTGGATTGGATAAATGGACGGTAAGATGGATAGAAAGATGGCTAGAAGGCCGGGCCCAGCGGGTCGTGATCAACGGCTCGATGTCAGGATGGCAGTTGGTTTCTAGTGGAGTGCCCCAAGGTTCGGTTCTACGACCGGTTTTGTTCAACATCTTTATTAATGACCTGGATGAGGGGATGGATTGCACCCTCAGCAAGTTTGCGGATGACACTAAGCTGGGGGGCGAGGTGGATACGCTGGAGGGCAGGGAAGGGTCCAGAGTGACCTAGGCACATTGGAGGATTGGACCACAAGAAATCTGATGAGGTTCAACAAGGACAAGTGCAGAGTCCGGCCTTGGGACAGAAGAATCCCAAGCATTGGGACAGGCTGGGGACCGACTGGCTAAGTAGCAGTTCTGCAGAAAAGGGCCTGGGGGTTACAGTGGGGGGGAGAGGTAGATATGCTTAAGGGCAGAGATAGGGTCCAGAATGACTTAGACAAATTGGAGGATTGGGCCACAAGAAATCTGATGAGGTTCAACAAGGACAAGTGTAGAGTCCTGCACTTGGGACGGAAGAATCCCAAGCATAGTTACAAGCTGGGGACCAACCGGTTAAGTAGTAGTTCTGCAGAAAAGGACCTGGGGGTTACAGTGGATGAGAAGCTAGATATGAGTCAACAGTGTGTCCTTGTAGTCAAGAAGGCTAATGGCATATTAGGTTGCATTAAGAGGAGCATTGCCAGCAGATCCAGAGATGTCATCATTCCCCTTTATTCGGCTTTGGTGAGGCCGCATCTGGAGTATTGTGTCCAGTGCTGGGCCCCCCACTACAAAAAGGATGTGGATGCATTGGAGAGGGTCCAGCGGAGGGCAACCAAAATAATTAGGGGGCTGGAGCATATGACTTATGAGGAGAGGCTGAGGGACTTGGGTCTGTTTAGTCTGCAGAAGCGAAGAGTGAGGGGGGATTTGATAGCAGCCTTCAACTTCCCGAAGGGAAGTTCCAAAGAGGATGGAGAGGCTATTCTCAGTAGTGACAGATGGCAGAACAAGGAGCAATGGTCTCAAGTTGTGGTGGGAGAGGTCCAGATTGGATATTAGGAAAAACTATTTCACTAGGAGGGTGGTGAAGCACTGGAATGGGTTACTACTAGGGAAGTAGTGGAGTCTCCATCCCCAGAGGTGTTTAAGTCTCGGCTTGACAAAGCCCTGGCTGGGTTGATTTAGTTGGAATTGGTCCTGCCTAGAGCAGGGGGCTGGACTTGATGACCTTCTGAGGTCTCTTCCAGTTCTATGATTCTATGTGGTGTCCAGGTTCTGTTCCTTCAGAGATACATTGTATAAATACAATACATGGTAGGTGTGCATTCCCTTTGTTCGCTAGTGCCAGCTGGTTTTCTTTAGTGATACCTGTATGGATGGCCCCTCCAGTCTCTAGGCTTCTCGTGCTGCAGAATGAAAGTATAAAGGGCACAGTCATCTCTCTCATCTCTTAATTCCTTCACACTAGAATCCACTAGTAAATTCCAATGCACTGGAGAA